CAGGGGGTGGGAAGGGACAGACTGGGATTTTAAAATGTAGAATAGATAAACAAGATTATACTGTACAGTACAGGGAAATAAATACAAGATCTTGTGGTAGCTCACAGCTACCACAAAAAAAAAGTGACAATGAATATATATATGTTCATGTAAAACTGAAAAAATTGTGCTCTATACTGGAATTTGATACAACATTGTAAAATGACTATAACTTAATTTAAAAAATGTTAAAAAAAACTTTCAAGTGGTCTTCCCCTTTTGATAATAGCATCTAGGTAATTCAAAGTAACCCTCCCTTGGAAGACAACTAGAGAAGCTGGAAAAATATAAAAAACATCTTCCCAAAGTCTATAGAGAGCTATAGAGATAGTAAAGAGTTACTATCAGTATCTGGGAAAAGATATAAATCCAAAGAGGTAAACCCCATATTTCCCTACCTTGTGAGGGGTTGGGGTGGGGAAGAGAATTTTACCAATTCTAGAAGAATCTGAGGAGAGGCTTATAGTCCGATCAGGACTTTTGATAGTTTTGTGGAGGCTAAGGATTCAAAATTTGGAATCCAGAGCTTTCCAATGGGAGGTTATTAGATGAGACTCAAATGGCTACATCTTAGGAGTAGGGGTTATCCCAAAGTAGACCTAAACCAGCACATTCAAACACAGCTTCATATGATCTTGTTTCCTGACATTGAATTAAAGTGATCCCAGAGTGTTGCCTCAAGCCTCTGACAGAAACAAATATAAATTTCCTCCAGAGGAAGATAACTTCATCCTGGCTCTCAAATTATTTTTCAAAACAATTTTTCAAATACAATGTCTGGCACAAAGTTTTTTAAAAAAATCAGATTCACAAAGAACCAAGAGAACATAAATGAGGACCCGTAGAAATTGCAATTAATAAAAACAGAACCATAGGGAGATACAGAGTTTAAAATAACTATGCTTATTATGTCCAAGGAAATTGAGAATTTTTGTGAAGAAATGAAAACTACACTCAAATATTACAGCATATTTTAAAAAGAACAAAATAGAAATTATAAAGATGAAACATA